GAGGTTTTTGCCCCTGGAACGGGGGGGGGGAGGCTCAGCCGACTGGGGATTGTGGTCGTCTCTCCCCCTGCCTTTGAACATGTAGACGTGGGCCACAGGCATTTTCTGCCCCCCCTTGTTGAGCCGGTCCCCCCGCTCCCCAGCCGGGCCTTTCACCTCTTCCTCTGGCTCCCAGGAGGCCACGATGCGCAGGGGGAGCTCCCTGAGATCTAATTGTGTCTTACCAGGGCTGGCCCCGGGGTGCTAGGTGCTGTACAGACGCCCACTGAGAATTGGTCCCTTCCCGGCAGAGCTAACCCCCCCACACACACTAGTCAAGGCGGGGAAGGGGGGAAGGCCCCGCTTTGCAGAGCCAGGTGGACCCCAAGTCTCCTGTGTCCCCGTCCTGCCCCAGACGGCCGGTGTCTCGGCGAGCCCTGATTGCCAGTGGGGCAGGAGGGACGTGGCGTGAGACCCCCCGGCAGGGGGCTTGGGGCGAACACTCATGTTTGAAAGGAACAGCCGCGCAGCGCTCCGCGAAGGGGGGTGGGGTGTTGCAACCCATGGCCCGGTGCCTGCAGCCTTCACTGCTCTGGCCCGGTGCAATCCACATTCCTCAGCTCTGTGTCATAGGCCCCGTACTGAAAACAGCCCATGGGAGTCCCCTTTTCGCACACGCAGCCGGTGCTGTGCCTGTGAAGGAAAGATCCCCCCCCCACCACCACGCACACACACTCCCCAGTGGTTCCCGGACCTTCTGGGTAATCGTAAGGTACAGCACAGAGACCTGGGATGTTCTAAGCCCCCGTGGATTTGCTACAGGGACATTCTACCCATTTTACAGTTGAAAACACTGAAGGACAGAAATTAAGTGACCTGCCCCGGCCTTTGAATCACCTTGGCAGAGTCACCAGGATCTCACCTCTCTGCCTGTTTCTCTTTTGATCAAATACGTCTCCCCCCTTTTTAGCAGCCGGTCACAAGTGGCCACGAGTTTCTTTGAAGTCAGTTCGCAGAGGCTATCGAGAGGAGTTTTGGGGGAGGGGAGGTTTGCTCTGTCCATCGGGTCTCCAGGAGCGACAAAACAGGTGTCTGTCTTGGACAGAGCCACTTTTTGAAGGGTGAAAAGCGGCCGCGGGTAACGCTGCGATAGACCCCGCCAATTAAAAGTGGTATTGGCCATAACGCCTTCCAAGCACTAATGACGACGGATGCTCACGAGGGTCAAAACGCTCGTGCCGGTGGCGTTTCCTTTCCCTGTCGCCCATGGACCGCAGCTTGGCCCCCCCTTTGAATTTTCCGTCCGGGTTTGCTGTGTGCCACTAGCAGGAGTGCGACAGCGGGAACTTGAAACGCGCTAACTTCAAACTGGAACTACGGGGTGACGCAAGATGGTGATACTGGTCCCTTCTGGCCTTTAAAATCCACGGACCAAACATTTCTGGCCAGCCGTGTGGACTGCCTGGGGTTTTGCACAGCTAGTGACAGGGTTGTCTGTATCGACGTGCCCATCCGCGTGAAGACACGGCTAAAAGCCTGATCTGCAGCCCGCCCTCGCTAGGCAGGGACGTGTCGCCTGGGAAGAGCACGTGGAGTTTTGTACAAGTTCCTTACCAAAAAAAAAAAATCTGCCAACGTCTCAAACGGAGGTGTGTGTTTTTCGCCCTCCAGTCTGGGCCTTTATTGCCTCGCAGGCTGGGTTCAGACCGTCCTGCGGGGGGGAGGGGGGCCTCTGAAATGCACAAGCGAGCCCAGTTGGGTAACCCCGCGGCGACGGAGTCGTCTGCCCTGCATCACCACAGCTCCGCTTTCCGCTGCCTGGGTTTGCACGCGGGCCGGCTGGGCCTCCGGGGGGCGCCGGGCGGGTGG